AAAGGTTTTTTTTTTTTTTTTTTTGTTCTCGTTCTCTCACAGTTAATGAATAAAATGACTATCAAGGAGACAAAAAGAAGCTGCACCTTTGAAGTTTTCTCATGAAGAGTTGAATTTTCTGGTACTGGGGCTGCTGCTGTTGGAGACTCATTGTCCAATGAAGATGGAACAGATGAATCTGGAGATGCACTATCATGATGAATCCTTGAATTGGCAAACATTAGCGTATCCGAACCACTAGTCGCTGCTATGACTGTTGATGTTGGAGACTGGCATTCTTTTTCTGAAAGCTGTGGAGATAAAGACCTTGTCTGTTCTGAAATGGAGGATAGCTTATGAGAATGAGCTACTTCTTTACGGGGATATGGATGCGCTGGCTTTCGTTTCGGACGTGGCGGAGGAATCTCAATGCATCCTACCAAGTTTGTGCTACATCCATTTGAATTACGCGTGACCTAAGGCAAAAGGAAAACAAATGAGAAGGTGGAAGATCATGAACATGAAGTACAAGTATTAATCCTTCAACAATTATTTACATTCATAAATGGGAATGTTTATATACCTTGGAGAAGAACTTCTGAGCATGGCTACGAATCTGAACTGCAGTCTTGGTACCCACATGCTCTGTTAGGAAAAATCAATTTGAGAGAGAACGAAAAAGAAAAACATAGTATAAGGATATGCCATCGTGCTCTTTTTGTTCAACCATACCTTCTATTTGTCGCCAATCACGGCCATATAGCTTCAGAGCTTCTATGAACTTATCATGTTCTTCTTCTTTCCATCTTTCTCTTTGTTTTGTGATTGTGTAAGGTTTCCTTGCCTAACCAATGAGAAACATAGGGTAAAGTTATTTAGAAATTCTTGAAATGAAGCATATCAGAATTCTGAAACAGAGAATTGGGCAAAACCTTGGGTGCAAATTCCTTCAATTGGACATTTGCTGAAGAGTGTTGATCAGGAGTCACAGTTGATTCATAAACAGCTGAATTCATGTTGTTAGAACAGAGACCTCCACCAGTGTTCTACAGTGATGAAGAATCAGAGGACAAGTTAATACAATAAAAGAAGAAAAAAAAAATCATGCCTCAAGAGACATCAAGAAATTCACTCTTAACATGAAATTCTGTTCAAAATATTGAAAATAAACTACTTGAACTAGAGCTAGAATCTTACCATGTTAAAATTCCCAGAATTATCCAAACCAAAAATGGTGAATAGGATGATAATATAGCACGATTCCAAATTCCAATTGCAAATTCAAGGGTATGATCAAGAACAGATGCAAGCGATAATTAACTGAAAAAATGTTGAGAAGATAAGTAAGGTTTTATGTTTTCTTCACTCTCCCCTGAGGCCCTGTATAAACTTCTTAACCAATGGGGAAAATATCTACCCAGTTTCGTGAGAAGTACAAACTCTAAAACGAAGAACTAAAATGAGAAAAAGAAATTCTAACATTTCGCAGAGATATTCGGAAAACTTTTCAAGAGTAATTTTAGGAGGCCAAACTTTAGCCTGACTGTACAATTCTGTTGGCTCAGATTTCAATATTGACCAAAACTCATCAAATTCAACACATGGACAGATGAAAAAAGAAATGTAAAACACGTTCTCCTATTATTTCTCGATTCTCATACCAATAATTAACAAGATCTGAACGCTTTCAAGGTACAAAAACGGACCAAACGAATCATTGGTCCAAATTACGTTTCGAAAGGTGATAGCAGAGAAGGAGAAGAAACGGAATATTCATACTTGAAATTGCATGCCTGCAGCACCCATGGATACTTTTGTCTTCCTCTGCTTTAAACGGAGGCAAACACCTCTGTCTTCAAGAAGTTGATTGCTGTTCAATTTACAGTAACCAAGAAATCCTCTGTACTTTTCAACAATCCGAATCAACACCCCTAAATAGCCAAATAATCGACGGTTTGCATTCAAAAGCTTGATATGAAAACTGATTTAGTTCCACTCCCACGGTTAAATATCCTTATTCAAGTCAGGAGTAAATGACTCTAAACCAAAATATCAAGGACGAATGCTTCAAAACCCTAAAATTGAGCGACCAGCCACTGAACCAATGTCTAGGGCTCCAAGCCTAGGAAAACAACGGGAATCAGATTCGCGGCAGTAGACTTCAGAGAAACGAAAAGATATTACATCCGTACAAGAGCAACAAAAGAATAACTAATTCCTCGATTGCGAAAGTGGAGAAGAACAAGACAACAAAACTATGAACAACAACTTCATTCTTAACATCAAACAACTCCTGGTTACGCAGAAACCAAACAAACCCGATTAATCGCCCTGCTACCAATATGGAGACAACTGATTCAAGAACAAATTACACCGAAAACAATAAACAGTGGAAAAAACGGAGAAGCTGGAAAAACATAGATATAGAGATTAAACTCCGATCGACCAGAAAAACCAGTCCGTTCCGTCCAAATTCCGAATCAAAACTAAGATAACATAAACTTCAGTTGGAGAACAAGGAAGTTATGCGAAGAAGATGAAGAAGGATAAGAACAGGAAAAATGGCGATGGAATTCAGAGTAGAAGAAAAGCTGTAAATGAAGAAGAAGGAAGAAACATCGTGATGTAGCTACAAGAAGACTGAAGAATTTTGCGGTGATATCATATCTTTATTTTTTTTAATAAAATTTAAATATCACTAAACTGTCATTTTTAAATATTTAAATCCATTATGACGTCATTTTGCTACTCTTCTTAAAATAAATAATAAAAAGACCTATTAGTTTGTCTTATATTTATTATTTATGAGGATATTATGAATTCTTTTATTTTTAATTTTGTAAATCAAAATTCTGAATTTCATAATTAAAATGACAAATCAATTGAATCTGGACGTGGACAGCTTTTTTTTGGTAAATCCATCAAATCCATAAAGGGAAACCAAAAAATATCGCCAAATAAAATTTGTTTTATTTTTTTCTTTTTGGTTTTCAAAATCTGACCTTTTTTAATTTCAATTAAATATGTTTTTCTTTTTTCCATTTTTCGGCAAAATTTTAACTTGATTTATGTTGTTACCTTTTCTTTGTCTTTTTTATTTTTTATTTTAAAATTATAATTAAATCTAATTAAAAAAAACTTTTAAAATATATAATGATATTAGATTTATATAATTTTTTTAATTTTTTAATAAAAATTATCCATTCAAAAATTATTTAAAATAAATAGATATTTTTTAAAAGTAAAATAAACTACGATAAAATATTAGGTGAGAATTCTCGTCTCAATCCCTATAAAAATAAATAAAAATATTCGTAAAGACACCAAATAAAATGAAAAAAAAATAATATTTGAAAATATGAGTTGTCAACATAAATAAATAATTCAGGGCTATAATTATTGGAGGAAGGTGGGACAGGGGTTGTTCTCAAATATTTAATTTCAAATTAAATAAACTTTATTAAATTATAAATAAATTAATAAATAAATAAAAACGACATGTCAGGTGGATTTGAGGCTGTCTCTAGATGTTCTCAAGTGCGCTTTTCGGCCACGTCACCTTCGGCTGTACACTTTAACACGTGTACATTGATGGACCAATAGAATCCCGCCCTTGTGGATGTCTCCGTCCAACTGGGTGCATTCTATGAGAGCCACAAAGATTACTAGGCGGTTTTCCGAGCTCTAGTAATGGACACGTGGCGTTTTATTTGGAAAGCTGGAACTTTCGAGTTTGCTTTTTTGATGGTGAGGTGTCACATTTTGTCTTCTTCCATTATTATTATTATCATCATGTCATAGCCATTCAAATAAGATAAGATCTTTTTTTTCTTTTTAGAGTATATAAATGTTTCACCTAGTTTCCTTTTTTTAATCCTTTTATGTTATATTTTTTAAATTTATGTTTTGTTTCATAAAAATATCATCTCGACTACCGAGATATTTAATTAAGTTACCGAGCTTATGTAGTAAAGGTAAATAGCTGCGGTGTTGTGGGCAACATGCTGGTTAATAAATTGGAATGAACGTCAAATTAATAATTGTATGAGCCAATTATCTAGATATTTTTTTTAAAAAAATTATTTTTTAAACAATTTGTATAAATTAAGAACAAAATTGAAATTGTTAAAGATATTTAGTATTAAATTATAGTCTACCGTATATTTTATTATAGGTAAATATCTACATATTTGTTCTCCCATCTTTTGTTATTCTCATTTATTACTATTTTCACATCCTTATAATTTATTTAATTATAAATAGAGAACTTTTATCGATTAAGGAAACATTTTTATAAATAATATAAACATTTAAAATTAAATATACATTTTTTTTAGTTTAGTTCGTAAAATTTTAAAAAATCTTAAATAAGACTGAGAGTTATTAGATACAAAATTATATATATATATATATATTAAGTTTGAAAATTAAGCTAAATTAATAAAAATAATATTTGTCTGCCAAATTTTTATTTTTTAATATTATTTTTGAAAATGGATGAATATTTTTTGAAAAATATTTTTAATTTTTGTTAGAAGGTATTTTTAAATAAAAAAAAAAGAATATTTATTTTTTAAATTTTAAAAGTATTTGAAAAACAGGATAATTTAAGAGTATTCGGAAAAAAAAAGAATATATTTTTTTTTTTATCTTTATTTAGAATGTAAATGAAAGTGTGATAATTTTAGCTTCTCGATTCGACCCGACCCGATAAGGTTAGTCGGGTTATCGGTTTAAACGAATAGACCCCGTGTTTGGGGTTTCATCAGAACGACCTTCGACTCCAGCTATCAGCATCCTTCCCCTCTTACACTCCGACTCTCGCATTTGCCGCCAACTTTTCTGCTGCCGTTATCATTGACACTCACCCACTGTCGTCGTTCCTGTCTGTTGGAACCTTCTCTGGTCGGGAGAACGAGCTTGGACTCTCAGCATCTTCTGGTCTCTCTCACGTTTGTTTATTAGGTGATTATCTTCACTGACGTTTGCTTTAAATTGATTTATTCAATTGACTCAATAATGAATTCTCTCTCTCGCGATGGGAAATTGTTGGCTGGCTTGATTCATCTTTGTATTGTATTGATCTGTAGTTGCTGATATTTGGAGCTGTTATTGTTGAATTAGGGTTCTTGTCGCTATAATTTTAACTGATTATCGTTTTCTGGCTTGATTCATCTTTGTATTCATCTTATTCTTCATCCTAATTTTTCTTAAATGGAATGAAAAGCTTGGAAGTTGCAACGTCATAGAGAAAAACAGTTGATCGAAGGAAATAAAATGGATTTGATTAAGCTATCTTTCTCAACAACATGTATCTCCATTCCTTTGTCCTTGTATGAATGAGTGTTTTGGCATATCCAGCAAATCTATATCATGAAACATAGAATAATGTCGATCCTTTTTGTTGAAGTATTGATATAATTAAATTTACCATAACACATCCGCTTAAAGTTTTGGGTTAAATGATGATTTAACATGGTAATGGAGTGGGAGATCTTTAAATTTTTGTAATGTTGTTTCCTCTGCAATTGATGTTGATTTTCATTTGTTGGGTCTTCTACAAAATTTCAAGTCTACCAGTGAAGGGATTGTTAAAATACTGATATAATTACATTTATAACCGCATCCGCTTAAGTTTTTGGGCTGTTTTGCTTCGATCTCTTGATTTTCAAGGAGTCTAAGTTGCTTCGTTAAGCTTTTGGGTTGATTGGTTATTTAACGTTTTTCGAAAAAGGAAGTTCAATTTCTTCAGTTTTTTTGTTACTGGCTTTCACCCTCACCCTTCATAATTTGAACTCCCTAAACCATTGATAAAAGCTTAACTCAGACCAGAACTAGAGAGAGATAGTTAGAAGGTTGTGTAGAAGTTTAAGGATTTCCTAGGAGTCTTGAGTTTCTTCATTAAGATCAAATGAGTCTAAAATCTTTTCAACATAGTTATTGTTTAAGAAAGTTGATGGAAAGTGATTAAAAAAAGAAAAGAAAAGGAAAGTAGATGGAAAACTGTTTAAAAAAATGAGTGGAAACACAAATTGGAATATCCGATGGTTCTTTTCGATGGAAAAGCTCAAAGAGGACAATATCTGCTAGTAGTGGGCTTGAACTGTTATAAATGGTATCTCAGAGCCAAACACCGAACGGTGTGCCAGCGAGAACCTTGTGCCTCAAGAGGGGTGAATTGTGAGATCTCACATTGGTGGAGAGGGGAACGAAGCATTTCTTATAAGGGTGTGGAAACTCTCTCTAGTAGACGTGTTTTAAAACCTTGAAGGGAAACCAGGAAGGAAAAGCTCACAGAGGACAATATTTGCTAGCGGTGGGCCTGAGCTGTTACACCTCATGAGCTTTGCTTGGTATGATTCATGTCAAATTGTTTTGGAGGTTTAATTTTTTGATACCAAACCTTACCATCCCTTGGGAACTATTTTGTTGAATGATTGGTACGTTTTAAAATTACCGCACTTTTGTTAATTCAAGAACTTTCCACCGAGCTCGGATGGAATACCAAAGGCGCTTATTACCACACTTTTTTAATTAAAAAATTTCTTACATTTCTCAGTTTATATCGTCAGTTGTGAAGGTTTCATGGTAAGTTACTGCAACGTCGACAGCTATGTTCACTAATGACCAGAGGCAAGCAGAGCGAACTGGAAGATATGGAACTCCAAGGCTCCAGTACCTCCAGGTACCTTTCATTGAAGCTAAAACATGGAGTTTTATTATTGTTCATTGGCTTATGTGTTTTTATTTGTTGTAAATTTGATTTTTGGTGCCTTTTCGGGTTTTTTTTTGCAGGAATTAGTGAATGAATTTCAGAGCTCAACTAGTCAAGGTACGTTTCTCGTTCCGAACTAAGCATGAGAATTTTAATAGAATTATTGTTTAGTTTTTGTTCGTTTTGAAAAGAAAGTTGTGGGGGAATGAGAGATTTCTAGCCCTCTATAAATGCTTGGGAGCGTTTTGTATTGCCTAAGGACATACCTTACTGATCCCTTTAAGCATCACCAAATACTCTTCGATTTCTGATATTTCTGTAACGATAGCACTGTCTCGTAGATTAATAATATAGTTTAAAGAATTCTACTTACAACCCTACAGTGATGAGGACAAATTTTTTCTAATGAATTCCAAAATGTTATGTTTGTTTCGTTATAAACTCGAGAAGCTAACAGTTTGCGTCATTCCTCTTGAACTTGCAGAAACAAAAGAAAGAGTCGTTGCAAATTTGGCAAACTTTGCTTATGATCCTTACAATTATTCCTTCTTACGCCAAGTATGAAATCTCTACTTCTAGTACTGCAATGCTTTGTTTCTGAGCTTCATTTTTTAAACTATTTTACTGAACTGTAACTTCGCGAGCAGCTAAACGTTCTGGAGCTTTTCTTGGACTGCATGACGGAGCCAAATGAGAAGCTCGTTGAATTCGGTATAGGAGGCATCTGCAATTCTTGTGTTGGTGCGATTTGGAATTCGAACCTTGGGTGATTTCTAATTTAGTACTTATTTGATTTATATGTGAGTGCTGTTTGTTCTATTGATGGGATGGGATGGGATGGGATGGGATGGGATGGCTAGCTGATCACCGATACATCTGTAGTTATTGTTTTTGTGCAGATCCTGCTAATGCTTCTATTATAACTCAGTGTGGAGGAATTCCTCTCATCATTGAATGCTTGTCAAGCCCCGTAAGAAACACTGTAAGTTGAGGACTGGTGTGCGTTACTTCTTGTTGTGTTTTCCGAAAAGAAATTGACCATCTCTTGGGCATATGCACGATGTTTAAAGAAATCTCGTTCCATAACCTAAGCCCACCGTTAGCAGATATTATCCTCTTTAGACTTTCTCTTTCGGGCTTCCCTGCAAGGTTTTCAAAACGCGTCTGCTAGGGAGAGATTTCAACACCCTTATAAAAAATGTTTTGTTCCCCTATCCAACCCCCCTTCGGGGCTCAGCGTCCTCGTTGACACTTGGATCCCGTCTCCAATCGATGAGGGACCCCCCAATGTGGATTGTAAGATCCCACATCGGTTGGAGAGGGAAACGAAGCATTCTTTATAAAGGTGTGTCCATTGAAAATGCATTCACTCATGTGGTAAACTGAACGATCCTTATCAGGTGAATTATGCGCTTGGGGCCTTATATTACCTCTGCAATGAATCAAATAAGGAAGAGATTATGAAACCAGAAGTGGTAGATGTCATCAAGAGATATGCAGTGGCTGAGAGTGCGAGCTTCAGTAATCTGGCTAAAGCCATTCTAGACATGCACTTCTCTGATAGAAATTGAGAATTCGACATCCTTGATGGCGAATCGGGTGAAAGAGTTCGCACTGGTTGGTTCGGTTTCCTCCTTTTCTACTTATTCTTTTATGATCTTAGGTCCCGTTTGATAATGATTTTCTGCATCTTGTTTTGAGTTGTTAATAAGATCTCATGGCATTCTCTCCGTTGCTGCACAGTATGTAAATTAGAACCAACAAAAATAAATAAATTTATTTATTTTTAAATAATAATAAAAAAGACTTTATGAAATAACATTTCTGATAAAAGTTCTGGGGCTTAAATGTCGTTGTCACCCTCGAACATTTAAGAAACGAATGAAACCCTTCTGAGTTTAGATATTTTCTTTCTGACAGTTGGCCACTGTTGCTGATTTTTACCACCTTTATGACCGTTTTGCCCTTCTGGCGGCTAAGAACCAAAATTGCCTTTTGCTATCATACTCATTATTATTATTATTATTATTACTACTTATCCTCCATTGAAACCTAACGATATCGGTGTTATAGATTCGAACCTCTTCTATCTGTAGCTAGCTAGCTATATCTGTAGCTAGCTAGAGTTAGCATATTTTTATATTTATGAAATGAAAGTCAACAGTGTTGATTGACTCGTCGCTTTGGACCTTTATGAACTCACACACATGTGTGTAGTATGGGAGAATCTAACCAAAAAAACAAAAAAAAAACTATTTTTTTTATTTAATTTATCAATTTGTCATGGGCATTATTTTTTAAATAATCCACTTTTGTCTATATTACAAAAAAGGGTTTGGGATTTTCAATAAACTCGTTTACAATAAGTGTGGAATATTTTTTAATAGTTCATTAAGATAAGACTAATGAATATATGTTGTAGGATTAATATATTAATTATTAATAATTTATAATTATATTAATACTATAAAAGGTTTAAATCTTATTTTTAGTCTTTTTCAATCTTATTTTATTTTAGTTTTATTAATATTTTTATAAGTTAAGAATCTTTTTCTAAATTTCAATTATTAAATTTGGAAAGTTTTAGGGAATATTTAGATTAATCCTAAAAGTTAACTGTTTTACTTTTACTTTTACTTTTAATTTTATTAATATTTTTAGTTATTGATTTGTGTTAAATTTCTATTAATTAATTTAAAATAATCAAATTATTTTTTCATTAATTTTATTTATAAAGGTCATTAAAATTTTTAAAAGGTTGAAAGGTATTAATTATATTTTTTAAAAGTATTTAATTAAAGTTTTTAAACGGTAACAATATTTTTTAAAGTTGGTCAATCTATTTCAAAGTCCTGTCTAAATAGCCGAATCTATCTCTTAGCGGTTCTTTTCTCTACTAAGAACTCAATCCCAATCAGCCAATCAGAACAATTTTGTAAAATTGGCTAATTCAAAGGGTGAATCTAGTCCGAAATTGTCAGAATGAATCGTTTGTTTTATCAGTAGGTGTTGACCAACTTTGCGATACAGACAAACATAATAAATAAGAAGCGTAAATGCAAAAGAGAAGAAAAAAGATTCCTCATCCCGAGCATGTTATTGACTCAACCACAAAGCTGTTGAACGAAGGTAGCTTGCTTATATATTATTGAATTTTTTTGTTTGTGAGTGAAGGAGTATTTTTTAAATAAAATATAAAATTGGAGTATTTCTATTATTAATTTAATAGATGTAAAAATATTTCGATAAAAAAAAATGCATAAAGAATTTTGTAAAAAGTTTGGTAACAAATGGCAATTGTGTAAATAATAGGGGGATTAAAGGGTAATATATGAAAGAAGGAAATAAAAAAAATTTGTTTTTAAATCGGTGCCGCTTACGACGGTTTTCTTCCACCTACCACAACTTTTCGTTTTCGTCTTATTTTTTTGTTGCATCGGTTCTGTTTGTTTCTTGCTGTCTCCACAGTCGATCTTCTCTGCGATTACTTCGTTTGGAGTGAGGGAGGTTTCAAATCATGGCTTTTCAGAAGATCAAGGTCGCTAACCCCATCGTTGAGATGGACGGTGCGACCACCATATACCTTGATTTCAATCTTTTTTTCTATTGCAATATGCTTATTTTTTTTTCATTTTTCGTTGTTTCTTGTGTCTTATGATATCGATGCTGCTGGATTGCTTTTGAATCGCTTAATGTCGTAGGGGATGGGGATTTTTGTTTTTCGTCTGTTAGGAGGGATTTCGTGTTTGTTCTTATTGCATTTGGATCTGTGAAGGTCGGTGTGTAATTTTGTAGATCATGGAGTTTTTGTTTTGGTGTATGAGAAGGTGTTTCTTGCTTCTGTGAGTATGCTTGATTTGTTGTGTTGCGCTTTCGGGGAAGTGGTTATGCTGTTGGTCCACTTCTCCTGATCTATGAGGCTAAGCCCTTGGTGTTGTGATTTTTAAGAAATGAGCACTTCTGTTTTCTTTTCGGTGGCGGTTAGCTGCCTGTGTTTTACATCAAATGAGAAGTTGTTGAATTTTCCTGTCATATGGATCAATGTTCTGTTTCTTCTCCGTTTAAACGTAATAATATGTTATAAGCTGGGAGGAATCTAGTGGAAGTAGCATCTAAATCTTTATCATCGTAAATAACTGTGTTGCATGTTGTACTTACTTTTATTCCTGAACTCTAATTATGAGACAACTACCTTTTCCCCTGGTATGAATCCTGCAGTCATATTTTTGAGAATAATATAATGATTTTACAGCCAATGAAGTCCTGGTAAGATGTGGAATAACGAACAATATAAATAACTTTATGTAATGCATGATTGGTGCATCCTGGAAGTTTCTATGGATTTGCAGAAACTGGGGGTTGTGAATGTTATTACATTTTCCTCTCTTCATTGTAGATTTTATTTTCTTTTTCCCCCAGCATTGTTTCTGTTGTTTTCTTTTTTACTCTGCATAATGTTACTCTTGGCATCCTTTGTACAGGAGATGAAATGACTCGAGTTATCTGGGAATCAATTAAGAATAAGGTATTGATTACGACAAATGTATATATGTGCATTTTTTTGTTGCAAGTATCTGGCTTATATTTTTCCTGTCTTATTTACAGCTTATTTTCCCCTTTCTGGAATTGGACATCAAGTATTTTGACCTTGGCCTTCCACACCGTGATGCCACAGATGATAAAGTTACAATTGAAAGTGCAGAAGCTACTTTAAAGTATGTGGTGTTACCAGCGAGGATTATTTGAAGTTCCTTTGATTAAAGCATCTGATGCGTCATGTATCTAATTGGACTTTCTAGCTACTAATCTTGAAGAGCTTGTTTGATGAGAAATTAAAGTTGACTTCATTTGCATTATTTTTTATTGAGTTCTTTATGGCTTGTATATTTTGGAACTCGGTGTGTTCTAACCACGACCGTACTTTATTTGGGTATACTCTTTTGTTCTAGGTACAATGTAGCAATCAAATGTGCAACAATTACTCCAGGTATAATTGCCTTTCTAAATTGGAAAAGAGCATCCAATATATAGGCCTATTCTGTGTTTTGTTGATTTTACATTACTATATTTTAATGAGCATCTGGAGTTCTTATATTGGAAGAATGATGATTGACAGATGAAGCACGTGTTAAGGAATTTGGCTTGAAGCAGATGTGGAGAAGTCCAAATGGGACAATCAGGAATATTCTGAATGGTCAGTGCCCTCACTATTTGTACATTATTCTGGTTTGTCGAATTATTTGAAAAAGCTTTAAAGACTTATGACTAAAATATACATTTTTGCTTTGTCAATTATATTGATTGAAGTCCAACCTGTTTTGTAGTTATTTGTTTTTACTTTCAGGCTTACCAATTGGCATCTTCTGCAGGTACTGTCTTCAGAGAACCAATTCTTTGCAAAAATGTTCCTCGCCTTGTACCAGGTAATTGCTGTCCACATTGATTTTATATTTTGGTTTAGAATATTGTACTGATTGTGGTTGTTGTTAGGTTGGACGAAGCCTATCTGTATTGGACGACATGCTTTTGGTGATCAATACAGAGCTACCGATACAGTTATCAAAGGACCTGGAAAACTGAAATTGATTTTTGGTATTTGAGATCCCAAAAACTGCATTTCTTGTCTAATGAATCCTCAATTGCTTTTATTTGATAGTTTCTTAAAATGCTGACTGTTGCAGAGGGGCAAGAGACGCAGGAGATAGAGGTTTTCAATTTTACTGGTGCTGGAGGAGTAGCGTTATCCATGTATAACACCGACGAGGTTTGTTATAGTATCCCCACGGTCTAGTTAAGAACTTAATAAAATATTCTCAACCCCTTTCATGTTTCAGCAAGCTTCCCAAATTAATCCTACAATGTAATACTGCCTTGTAGTCCATCCGCTCCTTTGCTGATGCTTCAATGAACACTGCTTATGAGAAGAAATGGCCTCTTTACCTTAGCACCAAAAACACTATTCTAAAGAAATATGATGGAAGGTATGCACTTTGATTTGTTATTTTGTATATGGATTGTTATTTGAAATATTTATGGCAACTTTTTCTTTGCACCTGTACCAATAATTTTCTTTCATTATGTTCATGAATTGAATGAAGATTCAAGGATATATTCCAAGAAGTCTATGAATCCCAATGGAAATCAAAGTTTGAGGCTGCTGGCATATGGTGAATAGCTTTTAATGACTTGATAAATGTTTATTAAGCCATTCCCAGTTTGAACTGCTAAACTAATTATTCTGGTTCTCAAAGGTATGAACACCGTCTCATTGATGATATGGTGGCTTATGCACTTAAGAGTGAAGGAGGTTATGTCTGGGCATGCAAGAACTATGATGGAGATGTTCAGAGTGATTTCTTAGCACAAGGTATGTGAAAATTTGAGCACGTTCCTTCTTCTGGCCTTTGGGTTTTAACATTTCTATCATGTGGTTGCTTTCTTGGCTTAGGGATGCTAAAAAATTTATACTTGGCTTGCATTTTCTCCATGATTTCTAACTTTATGTTTTTGGTTTTAGGATTTGGATCTCTTGGGTTGATGACTTCTGTATTGGTATGTTCCATTCAAGTTTTCAATACGTTATTACCAAGACTAATTACATTTGTTTGCTTTACTTACCAACATGAAAAGGTTCTCTCTTTTTGTGGGCTTGTATTTTTGTTCGCTTATTCATCTAAAGAATTAAAGCATCAAGTTACGCCTTTGGAAAATATTTGAAGAAAAATAGCTG